CCAAGATTCTTAGACCAAAAGGAAAGCCAAGATGTGATGAAATGATCCTGTTTTCCCACAAATAAACTGACCCTTGAGTAACGTTTGATCCCACATGAACCCCGTTTCCTCTGTAATTGACTCATGTCTGGTGAGTCTTGCCATGATCTTTGTGCAACATTTCACAAACCCTTTGAATCTTTACTGTTATAAACCCCTGCTGTATAATGTAATGTGCAGTTATCAACAGTTCATTAGATCAATACAATTTGGTGAACACAATATTTTACCTTGATGACACTAAAGCCAATGGTAATGTTTTCTCCATGACCAAATCGTCTGTGGATCTTCATGTCTTTTTGTTGCAAGGAGATCAGGACCTCATCGGACTCCTTTGTAACATCAAACAAGAACTGTAAAAAAGAAAAAGAAAACGTGTGAAAATAGATCCATAAATGTGTGTTTATATAAGTTTACATGTGCCTGAACACAGGTGATGTGAGGAGAGTGTACCTGTGGGTTCTGCAGGAAGGTGGGCTTGTGGTTGGCACAGCCCCCGCAGCGGTTCAAAAGCGGCTCTGCATTTTTGGTCCAACTCCCAAAGTGCACAACCTCATTCCACGTCTTGTTGACACTGATCAGGGCAGTATTGATAACACGGCAAACATCTGCATTAGTGAATAACTTGCACCAGTCTGCAAATGACATCCTGTGGACGAGAGCACAAAATGCATTAATACAATCTGAAAGAAGAGGTCAACTGTTAAGATTCAGAAGAGCTTAAATCGCTCACCAGAACTCCCCATCGTCCGCTACGGTGATGCCGAGGTTTCCCCTTTCCATATCACCAACCTTCGACCATTCCTCAGAGCTGACAAACCAACAAGAACAAAACAAATTAATGCACTCATAAATTACTAGTAGAGATAAATTGTTTTAGAGTTAAACTCCAGACAACACCCACATTTTGATTTGTAAAATGTGGCCATAAGAAGATTATATTTTAAAAGAATTACCACAGGTCAGATATAGGGTTGCAACCAGCCACAACGCAGACTCTATGCATTACATTAATTCACCCAATGTTGACAATATTGCTTACTGCACATATATATTTTTTATATTCTATATTTTATTGCATTCTATTTCAATGTAAATTACTGCTTATTTTTATTTCTATCCTCCTATATTTATATTACAGTGTTCTTAATATAGTTCGCTATGTGTTCTGTTTTATATATATTTTTTAATTAATTTTTTTATGTAGCCTATGCACCACGACACCTAGTCAAATTCCTCGTACGTGTGAACCTACCTGGTAATAAACCCGTTTCTGATTCTGATATAGATTTGAAATATGATTTAATTGGCTCTTCTGATGTCCCTTAAAACAATCTGTATGTTCAACACTGTCATTATTTTTCCAAAAATATGGCAAATAACAGTCCGGATCAGGCAAAACCTCCCGGACTTCCCGATGGCCAGTCCGGAGGACCGGGAGGTTTCCCGATGGCCTGGCCTGTTAAGTGGCCTGCTGGCCTGGTGATTTTATTTTTTTTTCTTAACGCAACTCTCCGCAAATATGGGTCTGGCTCACAAAGGGTGACTGTCTGTCTACATGATGTGGCCTGCCGACATGGCCACTTCCATACCGATCAGAAATCGAAGCCCTCGATTGGTCTCTGTGTGTCATTCAAGCTCGGGAGGGTGTGTGTACTGTATGTGTGGCACGAGCGAGCGAGCGTGCGCACCGGTTACTTGCATTTTTGTTGTTAGCATCTGGTTAGCTAGCTGCTCTAACAGATAAGGAGCTGTTTCAACAACAAGGTGGAGGAGAGTCAGTCAGACTGTCCTGTCAGACTGAGAGGCTCAGGTGAGGTTAAGGACTCTGGGTGTGTGTAGATAGTTAACTTATTCTAAGTTATCTCAGTGGGTCTCAAACGGTTTGGTCACCATTTATTAATAAAATATGCATGAGTACAAAGAAATTTTTTTAAATAGGTGAACAAAGGTAAGATAAACTTTTAAAACTTGTTAAGAGCTAAAACTAGCCTTCACTGCTGCCTCAAAGAGGAGCAGGGGGAGAGGAGGAAGACAGGTGAGGCTGATTCAGGAGCCCAGACACACTCACAACTATAAATGAACCAAAAATAAATAAATAAGTTTCAAAAAAAAATTATATTGGATATGGTATGTTATTGGTTATGGCCATGTTCTTATGATGTTATGATTATTTAAATGCATACAGTTATGTTTCATATGGGTGTTTCCATAGATCTAGTCTCAATGTAGTAATAGATTGATGCATTTCACTCCAAAATTACAAACAAAATCTTAGCGGGGGGGCATGCCCCCGGACCCCCCTAGAGGATTTGAGGTCCACCCCCACTTAAAATGTTTGCAGATGTTCACATGGATAGGTTCCCAAATACATGTGCACATTTTTAAAAATAGTAACCCCTGTCCATATATTTATTATTGGGTAGTTGATTATAGGGCACTCACTATGGGTAGCAACGCTGTAAATATTCACAAATAAATCCAGCAAAATTGGACAAAAAAACCCTGGTAGTGGCCTGGCGGCTGGCTGGGTGTATAATTCCTGACTTATTGTCCCAGTCCGGCCTTGATCCTGATCCCTATATATGTCCATATTAAACGTAGTAGTGTATGCTGGTTTGACATCTTGGACATTCCTGCTCTTCATGTAGTTGTACAGTGGAGAACAAATGTAAGCAATTAACTTTCTATCACTTCTTACGTGTCACTCCAGGCTCCTTTCCACTCAGTCTGACCCCAGGGGTTCCTCATGCGGATCAGAGAAATAGTTTCATTCTTGAAGTAGGCCAGCAGCCCGTGACCCAAACGCACTTTCTTCACTGCAGTTACTGAGTATGCGTGTCCTTTCACCAGACCGTTCGACATCTTAAATTCAATCTCATGAGGTTCTGCCTGGTGATGAAAAACAAACAGGTTAGATTCTGTGAAAGAAGGATAAAAAGAGGCAAATGTTCACGAGGAGCACACACATTGATGGAGCAGCTTATGATTCCTCCACGGTCGTAGACCTTTAGCAGATCCTCAAACAGCTGGTCTTGTTTTGTCTGGTCCTTATAGTATTCTTCTGCTGCCAGGTCGATGGCTTCAGCCACAGCTCCACTGAAGTCCACCACAGCGTCTCCGGTGTTTCCCCCCTCCAGAGACTCATAGCAGCCAGAGAGCCTGGACTCAGAGGAGCAGGGGAATCACAACTTTAGTTACAGAAATATTAAAATATATACAGCTGAATACAACAAGTTTACAATGGACTCTACATATTTGCAGATATATTCTATTGTTCCTCATCTGGATTCTGTATTTTTTGCCAAGTAGTTCTCACATACATGGAATAAAATTAGGGATTTTTTAAAATATAAAGAAGAGAAGACAACAGAAATATGTAAAATAAAACTACATATATGATGTATACACTCTTACATGATGCAACACTTATATTCTTTGTATAATGTATGGAAAGAAGCAATTGTTATGCATGTCAACTATGTTTTTATTATAGGTATAATGTAACTATTACTACTAAATGTGTCACTTTTAGTAGTAATAGGATTTATTTTGAATGTAGTTGCATTTTATTACATTATAACTGGATGATCATGTTTAATATTATAAGTCATATCAACTACATGTAAATAAAAATACCTAAGAATATTACTATATTTCTACAGAGGGGATAGTGTGAAGTGTACTGACTTGGCGTAGGCCTTCTCCAGCAGGGCGCTCCAGAACTCGTTCTTGTCGTTGGAATGGCAGTAGATCAGCTCCTTGTTGATGGTGGGCAGCCGGTCATCCACCACCACATCCACCCACTCTCCAAAGATCCAGAACTGGAAGTGGAAGATGCCTGCATAGTTCTCCGGATGCTTGGGATCCCACTCCTGCTCCTTGTGATCAGGAATTACCTGAAAAGCAAATGTCGCATATTATACAGCTGAGACTAAAGAGTCATTTTCAGTTGGACCAGAGAATGTTGCAGGGCACCCTAATCAAATGACACACATTAAAAAAGAATAGCAAAACCCAAGGGTGCGACTGTAAACACTGCTGTGATGAAGGTATTTAAATGTGATGCATTAACGACAATTGACTTTTGAAGCTCTTTTCAGAATCAAAATATACAAGTTTATCTAGTAAGCAACTGGTTGTTAAATGGCTTTAATAACGTTGGGACTGATGTGTTCCTTGCTTAGATATCATGATAGCGTAAACTACGTGGTAGCCTTCACTTTTTTTCGGTAGCTTCGCAGTTTAACCAAGTCAAGTGCAAACAGGTGTGCCTCATTATTTCTCTCAGCAGGGAGAGTCTGAGGCCACTATGAAGTTGTAGGAAAAATAGGTAAGTTATCGTTTTGCAGCAACTAACAAGCTGTCCTATTCTGGCAGTTCAGTGTTGTAGACGGTTGCCCATGGTTAGATTGACATGTCAGCAGGACCTTAACAATATTATATTGACTGTGTGATCAATATTCTGTATGATATGGATGCTTGCTCAGTTAAGTCCCCCCTATACTTAACGGGGTAGATGGTAGGTTCCAGTTACGTAAGGCTGAGACTGTACAATGCTTTTCACTGGAGAAAGGGGGTGAAGTTGACCTCACAGTGTAATGTAAATCTGGTAGTCTCTTGTTTAATTTAGTTCTATTGTTATCTTCGGGTTTTATTTTAGTTTGTTAACTTTTAGTTAATAAATAACTTGTGTGCCACTACTCCTGCCTGTCAACTTGACTTGGCAGCATACATGATCCTATTAACCAGAATTGACTTAATAATAGTGAAAAAATATGTAACAGTGGATTGCTTCCAAAGACTACTCATGCATGAACCCCCCCTCCCCTCAGGTAAATTCCTGTGTTCCTGATTTGACCTGCTTTCAAACTCTAACTATGCCAGTCCCCTGACAAAAGCACCATCATTATGAACTCACCTTCTTCCAGAGATCAGGCTTCATAGCAAGGCAGGAGCAGGCAGCAACAAACCAACAATTTCCCACAACTCCCTGGTTCAGGTCATGGGCGCTGATGCCCTCCACAAACAGGCTGGGCGCATTGCTGATCTCCTTTAGCAGAAAGGTAAATGTGAGTGTTGTTGTGCAATGATCATTGAAATCTTCTGCTCTAAAATGTGTGTTCAATGTAGTAATTTAAAAAACAATCACCCATACATGCCACTTGTTATCGTAACATTAGCAGAAATAACATTTTACTCACGGCTGGTCGTTTCCACTCCACCAATCCAGGAGGTGGTTTCCTAAAATACAGCGATGAATTGATAACAGGGAACTCTGCGTCCTCAAACAGCGTCTTGTCATTGATGCAGTTCCTCTTCAGTTCAGCGTAGTGCTGGTTTTTGTACGGGACAGCAGAGGAGAACATGGTGCAGACGCTGAAGCCTCACAGCTGCAGAGGGATGACACACAATATAAAAGGTTATTGGGTTTTTGGGCCTTTCTGTGAATCAGGACCCCACAATGTTGATTCTCTGATGCAAACGGTGCTTTTAAGAGACCATGTCATTTATAGCAAAACCTGAAACATTTATGTTCTTTAAAATAAAGCTGTGATTACATTAGGCTATATTAAGAGTCCACAAATGGAAAGCTACATTTATTTTCCTCTGTGTCTCACTGTTACAGCTGTATGTATTCCCTGTTTCTTTTTCCCCTTGGTTCCTCTACCCAGGTGTGCTGCATTGCTGTAACGAGGTTCAGACGCCGTGCACCTGGAGAAGGAAGTCCTTAAAAGCTCCAGTGCAGCAGCAGAAGAGGGGGAGTCCTCTGGTGTGGGGACTGCTGTGTTTATGCTCTAATCCTAGAATGTGTAGTTGAACATGTTACATCTTGATTATAATAAATCTGGATTTGATGATTTTAAAGGTGTCTTTTGTGTTCTATTTGGGTCAGTGGTGGAATTTTGTTTGCCCCATAGGGCCACTTTAAGGGTGGGGCGTAACACTCACCAACACTAATGTTTGTCATTTACAGAAATCTTCAGGTGGAATTCAAACTCAAAACGTCTCTAAAGTGTTGTGTCATTGGCACAATAACTGTCAAGTTCTAAAGAAAAACATGAATTGTGTTTAAAGCTGGATCTTGTCCCATAAAAAATGAAACTCTAACTCAGCTGTATTCTCTGGAGAAAGATGATTTATGAACTATTGATCTTTTTGTTCCTTTCTCACTGACCGGCTGCATTTGGACATCTGCCAATAAAATCTTTTTTAAATAAATCTTTATATTATATATTTGCCAGGAATAACATACTGAAGAGTACTGAATTTATTTAACTGGAAGCAGAAAGAAAATGTGAGGAAGTTTGATGTTCACGAGAAGACGCCAAAAAAACATCTACCTCTTACAAGTCGAATCACAACAATCTCGGACAGACATGTCGTGTGAGGAGAAAGAGCATGAAACAGATATGACAGGCAGAGAAAGAGCTGATGTTTGGAAGAGGAACAGCAACAATTTCTTGATCATAAGATTTAGATATACATTTTAAAAAGTACCTTGAAAAGAAAAGAAACAAGAGAAGATGTAACAACAAAATGTACCTTAAAGATAGCAGTGTGATACTTATTCCTTCCTGCTCCACAAAAAGGAAGTGTCCAGGTGCTGTGTCTGCTGCACCGCCCTCCTACGCAGGGGCTTATCCAGGTGCATTGTTAAAGCCACACCTTGAGTGTGTTTGTCTTTTCAGTAATGGATTATTTCACCACCCAGTGTTATTGTTGCTCTGGGTAAGGGTTTATACATGGTCTCTGTTAGCGTGCGTTATCTGTTTGAGAGTTCCTGGCTAATCTGGCAGGTTATTTTTGGTAGCCTATTTGCTCTAAGCGCTGGGGAAGTTTCGTTCTACTATTGTAATGCTATGTTTAATCTGTGTCATATGGGTAAAGGTGACAGCAGCTCACATTCCAGACGTTTTGTCACGTGCCGGTATGTTGTTGGGACGTTGTTAAAAGATCAGATTGTTTTACACATCAGATCAAAGATAATCATTTCAAAAGTTTTTATCAGGCTGCAGCCTTGTTTAAATATGTCACAGTTAAGAGTGTACTGATTCCTTCCAAAGAAAAACTTATTATGAAAACATTAAAAGCCTCAGAGATGTGTTAAACACCACCTATAAAGGCGTGAGGCTTTGAGGCAAGAGGAAGGGAAGTTCTCTAATAAGAAGGTATTAAAATGATGGTTAAAAGCACAATAAATTAAATATAGCCAATATCATGAAACCACAGGGAGTCAAACTACACAAGGATGGTAAAACTTGACTCAAGAAATCTTACTTGTAGTACTTAAAAAGTTAAAAGTAACACTCACCTGTAGCTGTCTTGTCCTTGTAGTGATGGGCTCAAATGTATTCTATGTTTACTAGGTTCCTTTTAGATGTGTTCAAATCAATCCCGCTATTCTGTCCTAAGATCTGTTTCTCCTTTCTCAAACCAAATCCAGTGTGTACTCCTGGCTTCGAGGGCTTTTCCAGACACGTTTATCTGCACAAACACTGCCTGAAAACTGGTCTGACAGGCTCCTCTCTGCAGCAGGAGGTTCTAAGCTAATGCGGATACTGTATGGGAGGCAAGGGGATACTGAAATGTTACACCTTCAGTCCCACAACCCAACCACTCATAGGTGAAACAAGCTGAAACCTGCCCTGTTTACACAATTACATGGGAAAACTCCCATTAAAGGTGGGAGTGGGATTGTTTGGTCTCATTTGTCTCTGGTAACAATGATTCAGAGGTGGAAGAAGTATGCAGATCCTTTACTTAAAGTAGAAACACTAAGGTCCTAAAATGCTACAATACTTGTATTGTTTTAAAAAATTTACTTTAGAGAAGTGTTAGCATCAACATGTGCTTTTAGTATCAAAAGTGAAATATGCAGAATGGTCCTAGCACAGTATTATAGTGTTATAACATTCTGGGTAGATGTGTTGTACAGTACTGAATTATATAATATAAGTATACAGTATGACATGTTTTATCATGTGTTAAATAAATATAGCAGAGTAAAAAGTACCCTCTTTCCCTCTGAACTGTAGTGGGGTGAAGTAATGTAGCCTACTTCACATTCCACCACGATAAAATCTTCCAGTTGTTTCCAGCCAGAAGCAACTCAAATTTAACCAACATAATTTATTAGCCATGTGCTATCCTCATGCTGCAACTGAACTGTATATACAAACTGGCTCTCAGCGGTCTGGGTTTTATTTTTAAGGAGCACAAAAGCCACTTTGTCTCCCTCTGAGAGACAAATCTTATCTGGAAAACTCCAGTTTTGATACTTGAATTCTTTTTTAGCAGTGAGCCAACAGCAATATGTCAAATCCTTGGAACAGCTAAAGAGACAGGAAGAAGAGCTAATTGAAGAAAAATCTTGAATTATCTGGATCACAAGTTTGTGAGAAAAGGCATGTTTGGGAGGAGAAGAAACATGTCTAGTGTAGGACACCTAACTGTTCAAAACGAAGACCATCAATAAAGGCTAACAATCTACAGTTGTCTCGTTTACAGTCAACATTGAGTTAATTGCAAAGTACAGCTTTGAAAGGGAAAATAAAATATGGTGTTGTGGTGACACTAAAGGCAAACGGCCCAGGGGAGAGGAAAACGTCTAACTTTAAACAAGTTAGACAGTATCTCTTATGAGATGTTTCTCACAACAAACAAAAAAAGAAGTGGCAGCCAATCACATCTCTTCTACCTTTTGGGTCCTGTATTTCTAAATATAAAAAAAAAAATTTCAATAATTAAATGGTCAAATCAATACCTTATAAATCATGCCTCAAGTCAGGTTCATGCTAACAGCCCAATTTCACAATGTGCCTCACTTATTTAGCCCGGAAGTGGCCAAATGAAACAGCTGTTGCTGCTTTATCATTCAATGGCAGTTTCAATTAATTGTGTTATAGATACAGATGTATTAAAGAGTTTTCATTTCAAAATGCCTTTTTAAATGTCTTTTTTTTATTTAATAATGATGTTATTCCCAGTGGCACTCGTACATCACTTTTAATATATGGTTATTATTTCTCAAGTAAGTAAAATCCTTAATTCTCAGTCTGGCTTTAACACCTGCTTCCTAGAGAGCATACATGACCCTCTTGAGCTTAATAAAAGCAAAGGTTTGTCCATGCACTGTTTTTATTTTGAATAGTAGCTTGTTAGTCGATTCAGATTACAGTTTCTGTCAAACAGGCAGGGAGAATGAGATTGGGAGTGGTTCCTGGTGACAACACCGCTGTCATGTGAAGGGACAATGTGTTAGAAGAAAATCCATGAAATGGTATCTATTATTGAACCCTTTCTCTTCATCTCGTCTTTCTGGGCAGTTGGTTCAACAGGTTGTGGTTCACAGAAAAATACCCCGTAATCTACTGGCCAAATGTTTATGAAAAATATAAGTATTCTTCAGCTTTTTATTATGACATTTAACGAGAACATGCATGCTCCCTTGAGGATGAACTTGTGCACTTTTGGACACTCCATGAGCAGGCCAAAAAATATGAGCTACTTATACAAAATATGTCACAGTGATGAGGACACAAAAATAAACCTTCCCACAGATGCGTTTTGTTTCTCCCAGCAGAGATAACCTCATTTGTCTTCCTCTGGTGCCACCCTGAGGACAAACTGTGCACTTCCAACCCACTGCTAATGCTTCAGGAATCACACTCTTATTTTATTGAGATGTTGTATATATATATATGAGTGTTTGTGTGTGCGATATATATATATAGATATGGGAGATTACAGCATATTTGGGCTATTAGCAGAGATTAACACTTCTAAATGTGCTGTTACAAAAGAGCAGACAGCTTTCTGCTTGTGCTCCAGCTGAGATCTGTCCCACATATTAACATTTTCATTTATTTTTTCATTTATTCATTTCTTTAACAGGGACAGGGCACATTAATGAACATTTCTGTAAATGTGCCAGAGTTAGCTAAGAGGCTATTTTCCATCTGTAGTCCCTGGACAGATTTTAAAAGTCAACCNNNNAAAACACATTTCATTTTAAACAAGTAAATACAATACATTTAAAACATGCCAGACATTACTGGGATACTTAAATAAAACAATTTAAAATACAGAACATTAAAACAAAACAAATAAAACAAAACAAAAGAACATTTTAAAACACAGGCAGTTGGTTGTAAGGAGCAGAAGATTGGGTCAGTGTTGGCAGAGCTGATTCCTCACTTACCATATTTTGAGTTTTGATTTAAATAAAGTCAATGTGGTCTGGTCTCTGATTGGAGATGGGATTGAGTTCCATTGCTGAGCAGCTTTAACAGAAAAATGAAGACTGACTGAAATAACTTTTTCTGAGTGGAATAATGCAATCTCCTCTCGCTGCACCTCTTGTTACCCTAGTTGCAGTTGTGCGTATGTTAATAAACTGTCTAAGAGGAGGTGAGGTAAGGCCGTTGACAATCTTGTAAAAAGATTACACTAGTCCTGTCCTCTTTTTAAAAAATCCCTCATAGCCAAGAGACATGCAGGCAGGTGTGATTTATAATGGATACTGTGTTTGACCTATATCAGAACAGGAACAAAGGGTGAACGACAGATATCCAATATTTGGGAACATGAAACAATTTCTCTTGAAGCGAGAGGTCAATGATCTTAAACCCTTAATGTCGTCATGATCTGAGATCTGAAAGGGATGCAGACACGAAGGAAGTGGATTGATTGTAAAGTATTTGGAACAAGGGGGATATTATCTAGGATAAAATAGATAGTTAAGTAAACAATTTAAACAAATATGCTCAGGATGTTCTATCATATTCATCCAAGATTAAATCATATTCACAAATATTGATAAGACCTTTCCAGACCTATGCTTCTACCAATCAAATCCTCTTTCTACTTAGCTGTTCTTCTACTATTGGCATGAATTTAACTGTTTTCCCCGCCATATTTACCATTCGAAGATCAAATGACAACATGTCTCATAAATGATCCTTTTGGCACACTGTCTAATTGCATGCTTGTTTGTTTTGAGTGATATTACATATTTCATTAGACCTACAATACATTTGAAACAAGATGATGAGCTGCTTAAGATGAAGAATGTGTGTTTAATTATAGCTGATAAAAAGCCAGACAAAAGCCAGACCTGTGACATCATGCAGTCTCACTTCAGTGGAAACTTTAAAAGGCAGT